CTGTGAGTAACAACTGTGTAAAGATATGTTCAAAATGATTATCTTCTGAATAATTGAACTGTACTGCTTTCTGAATTGATACTGTTAATTGAATGAATGTATGTCCTATATTCTTAACTGTATTGTGGCATCCTTAGCAACTACTGTTTACTGTTACTGTTACAGAGATTTTTGTCGGTTCCCTTGTTGGAACCACTACTGTTTACTGATTGATGGCCATAATTTACTGTTCGGTCTTTTAAAACTTACTGTTTACTGTACTGTTATGCTAATGGATGTACGACATATGACTGAATGACTGATATACTGAATTAACGAACTGTTTTCATTACTGTAAGGACATTCATTTTTAACCTCTTCACGCATTATGTTATTCACTGGGCTTTAGCCCACTGCTCATATATATATGTAGGTGTACAGGCACTAGACCGCGGCTAGAAGCGTTGGGGTTAAGCTCCAGTTTTGTCAAGCCAACTACTGTGCCTCACTGCGAGGTTCCGAGCCTGTCTAGTTATGGCTTAGGGGTGTTTTTAATTTCCCCGTCTGTCTCTGTATCTGTTTTGTACAACTGTATAGACTGTTACGGTACTGTTTAATAGGGATTAGGTCCCTGAACTGAATGATTGTATATATGTACATACTGTTCTGTACTGTTCATGTATATGTGTATGAAAAGTCTTTTTGGCATACAGACTGTCACAATTCATTGGACATTGTTTATTTACTGTTTTGGCTTCCACCATGCCCCTGTACTCTGTTTTACTGTATTACTGTTAAGTAGGCCTTCGGTAATATTGGATTACTGGCCGATTACGGTGCTAAACCCATAGCGACGGGTTTGGGTCGTGATAGAGATTCCATGGAGTTTGTCAATACACACAGTGTTGTAGAGTGTTTACTTACAATAACATGTTTGTTGTGTTCTTCGTTGATCTCATTCAGTCGTTCCCACAGACGGCGCCAATTGTGAGACCATGAAATATCCTCTCACATGGATGGTGTGGAGATCCAACGAAGAGAAGAGCTTCACCCCTGTAGATCTGTAATGAGGAACACAGTCGGTGCCACCCAACTGGGGTTGCCGATTGGGAGTACTCCGATGATGAAGTTAGTCCTTGAATCAGTAAATAGTATATATATCTATTAGAAGGGTTGTGTGTTTTGTGTTGAGAGAACAGACATACCTCTCACTTGGAATGCCCCCCCTTTATATAGATGGAGGGGTGTGATATTTGTTTGGGTTGGACCCATTGTGGGCTTTGTTTGGGTTAGGCCCAATAAGCTAGTACCTATATTTTTCTGGCTCCCACAAAACAAACGTGGAGGGTTGGGCTGGATACAAGCTCCAAGTTAAGCTAAAATCTCTAAAGTTAGCTCTTAAGCAGTGGAATTTTGAAGTGTTTGGGAATGTGAATACAAAGTTGAAACAAGCTGAGGTTGAGTTATATGCCTTTGATTTGGAAGCTGAAAACCGAGAGCTAGATGAAAATGAAAAGAGGAGGAGGACTGCAGTGAGGGGGAAAGTTTGGAAGTTAAGTAAGATGGTGGACAGGCTTTGGCTACAAAAATCTAGGCTAAACTGGATCTTGAATGGGGACAAAAACACTAGATTTTTCCATATCATGGCAAGTTGCAGGTAGAATAAGAACATGATAAGTTTGTTCATTGAAATTGAAGAGGTGGTTGATGATCCCTCAAGGGTGAGGCAGAAAGTAAAACTTCATTTTATTAAGCAATTTTCTCAGTCATGACAATGCAGACCTACACTTGGTGGGGATTTCAAACTTGTCAGACATAGCCCTATGTTTGATAGTTTGGAGGCAAAGTTTACAAAACTTGAAATCCTATTAGCTATCAAAAAGTGTGATGGCAACAAAGCTCCAGGACCAAATGGCTTTAATTTATTTTATTTTCAGAAGTTTTGGAAGCTTATGAAGGGTGATGTGGATCAATTTATGAAGGATTTTCATAGAAATGGATGTCTGGTAAAAGGCATCAATAGCTCTTTCATAACCTTGATTCCGAAAAAGAAGAACTCTATAGAACTAGCAGATTTTAGACTAACAAGTTTGGTGGGTTCACTGTATAAGATTCTAGCTAAGGTACTTACTAATAGACTGAAGGCCGTCTTACCTGAAATTATCAATGAAGCACAGTCAGCATTTTTGGGTAGTAAAAATATACTTGATAGAGTCTTGATTGCCAATGAGGTAGTGGATTGTTGGAAGAAAACAAGGAAGAAGGGGTTAATCATTAAACTGGACTTTCATAAAGCCTATGATGCTATCAATTGGGAATTTCTATTCTCTATGCTTTCAAATTTTGGATTCAAGCACAAATGGATCTCTTGGATTAAGGAGTGTGTGACCACTATGAAATTATCTATACTTGTCAATGGTTCCCCAACTGAGGAGTTCTGTCCTCAGAGAGGTCTGAGGCAAGGTAACCCCTTGTCCCATTTCCTATTTAATATAGCGGCTGAAGGATTGAACATCTTGTTATCAAGGGCTCTACATATGGGACTAATTAAAAGTGTAAAGGTTGGATCCAATGATGTTCTAATTTCTCACTTACAATTTGCTAATGACTCAGTTCTATTTTGTAAAGCTAAAGATGATGAATTGGTGAACTTAAAGAGGATTCTGAGGTGCTTTGAGATATTATCTGGGTTGAAAATTAATTATCACAAAAGTATGGTGTGTGGTGTTGGTGTACCTAATGACAATCTAACAAACTTTGCTTCTCTGTTAAATTGCACTGTCCAGAATTTGCCCATCAAGTATCTTGGGTTACCTCTTGGGGCCAATCCTAGAAGAAAAACAACATGGAAACCTGTATTGGAGAAGGTTAAATCCAGACTTGCTGGGTGGAAAAGGAAGTTTCTATCATTTGCAGATAGGCTCACATTGATCAAAGCAGTTGTGTCTAGCTTACCTGTGTACTATCTGTCACTATTTAGAATAACAGAGGGAGTAACTAAGGAGATTGAAAGGCTTCAAGCATTTTTCTTATGGGGTGGCTCTGATCTGCAAAGGAAAATTCATATGGTGAAATGGAAGGAGATCACAAAAAGGGTTGATCAAGGTAGGTTGGGGATTAGACGAATCAAGGAGGTGAACACTTGTTTACTCATCAAATGGTGGTGGAGATTTGGTCTTGCAGTAGGTGCTTTTTAGAGAAGAGTGATTTGTAGTAAATATAGAATTGGGATTGACAAGTGGAGTCCTAATTTTAATCTCAGTAGTAGATATTCTAGCATTTGGAAGGACATCATTGCAATTGCTGATCAAAGATGGGACTTGGTTGAGTTTTTTTAGCAGAATTTTCAGATTCAAGTTAGGGATGGATCTAGAACTAGATTTTGGTATGATAAGTGGTGTGGGAATGTATGTCTCAAAGAGAATTTTCTGGCATGTTCAACCTTGCTCAAACTAAGAAAGGTTCTGTTAAGCACTACTCTGATTTTAAAGGAAGTTTAGTAGAATGGGTGATACCTTTCAAAAGGGTTTTGTATGAATGGAAGGAGTTGGAAGTATCAAGATTGCTTAATCTACTAGCAGCAGCTCCTTTCCTCAGACTTGGTCTTGCTAATGTACCTTGTTAGGGTGCGGAATCCTCAGGAGTGTTTTCCATTTCTTATGTGTATAAGTTCTGTTCTGATAATTTTAATTCTTTAGTTTGGGGTTGCAAGTTGGTGTGGTTCAAGCCTATTCCACCCAAAGGCCAATTCTTTGGATGGTTGGCTTGGAAGAATAGAATCAAATCTGCTGAGTTTCTGCAAAAAATTAGGGTCTTGAGTAGCAATTCAGATATTAAATGCATTCTTTGCAAAGCTAAGCCTGAGTCTGTTCGCCATGTCCTTCTTCTGTGTCCTTTTTCTTGGCATATCTGGGCTACTATGTTAAAGTGGTAGGGTTTTTTTGGAGCATTGTCAGATGTAGTGGAAAAGGTGTTTCTCTGGTGGGATAGAGCCAAAGAGCCAATGTTAGGAAATCAGAGAAAGTGATATGGAAAAGTATACCTTTAGCAGTGTTGTGGTCTATTTGGAAGCTTAGAAATGAGTGTAAATTCAAGAACTCAAATCCAAACCTTGATGAAGTCATTGAGTTGGTCAAGATTATATAGGCAAAGACATCACCTAAACTAGCCCAGTTTTCAGTTAATGATTTTATTTTTAACATGAATCAAATTAGAGTTTGCATTGGTGGAAATCTGAATGCGTGATTTATGTTGAGTAGTGGGGTCTTGGCTGCCTTAGGACTGTAGAGCATTGGGATGCTGTTACTGGTCTGGTTACACTTATTGTTTTGTTTGCTACAGCTGGTGTATTGCTTATTGGTTGCTACTGCAGGTGAGGGCGGTATGGCTTAGGAGGCCTGCTGATGTTTGATGTTGTTCTAAGATTGTCTGTTGTTGTATGCTGCTGTCTTGACCTGCTATATGCTACTGATGTATACTGCGGTTTAGAAGCTTGCTGCTGTTTGGCCTGCTGATATATGAAGCTGTTCTGGTCTATGCAGATACTCTAAGGTTGCCCATAGACAAAAGTTGCTTTTGCTGCTGTTGGAAGCTCTATGGTTTGGAGCTAGTGTAGAATTATGTTGATTGATTTTGTTTTGCCATATTGGTGTTTTATTTTTTGGATTTTGGTTGCTCTTGATTGGCTTCTCACCAATCTTGGGTGGGTCAAGTGCTTGCATATGATTGTGCTTCCTTCACGGTGCCAACTTAGTTGGGATTATGGAGGTTAGCTATGATACTTAGTGCACTTCCCTGATTTGTTGATGTATTGTTGCATGTACTTTGCTTTATCATCAATAAATCTTTTTTTGCTGATTAAAAAAAAAGAAGAACAGATTCTCCTTTTATTGTTTCTAAATTTCATTTTTTTTTTTAAAAAAAAGAAGGGATTCTCTCTTGTAGTTATCAAGCTCCCTCCTACATATATCATAAGAAACTTCTACAAGTGAAATAAATATATTGAAAATCGAGCACAAGAATGCACGGCACAAAAGCTTTTCTAGCTGCCACACTTTTTCATTATCATCTTTGGCAGGAAGAACTGGAATGGAGAAGACGAGCTCCAATCCTGACACGTATCAGAAACATCCTTTTTCAGCATTGATGTAAATATTCCAATCATTTTATCCAAATATGTTGAAATAGATATAAATAATGCTTATATCAAAAGAAAAGGGAATAAAAAGCAGAGAGGGTAAGGGATACGAGGGGAACTCAAAGTAAGAGATACTGATTATCCTTGAAAGGAAGATGAAAGATCATTCCTTTGCTGCTGAAATGCATTCCAGCAAATCATCACTTTTTCTAGTTTATTTGATCCAAAACAGGAACAACTGTTTCTGTTTGTGCTATCAATAATGAAAGTAAGGAAAAGCCTTACGACGTTTTGGTTGTTACCTCTTTGAACATGATGACATTGGCAGATGCTTCAAGCTAGATACATCGAACAACTCCATAAACCTCTGATCTGAAACTCTAGCTTTGGCAGCTGCAAAGCGCTGGTACTCGTCAAAAACAGAAGACAGGCACCACTTCTGCAATTTTCTCAGGCACCCCACTACACAACCAGTACGGTGCTGAATAAAGCAAAAACAACCAACCCCACATAACAGTTAGAAGGTCCTCATACTTCAAAAGCAAAGATTACATCACACACACACACAAAATTTAATAAGATACTGCACATACCTTCCCTCTTTTGCAATGGATCAAAAGTGGGTGATTCTTTACATCTGCATTGTAGATGAACAAGAGTTACATAAGCAAAGATTAACAGGTTACACTGTAAATTGGCAGAAATCAATTATGAAAGTAATAAGCATTTAGCATACCAAGTACAACTTTGAGTGCTTCACGAATAGTGTCCTCTGGAATGTTTACAAAAGGTTCCTGCACATAAATTTTGAATCACTTCCTTGACTTGGGATTAATTCAAATTAAAGAACTTTTCACTGTTCAAGCAATGGGGTATATCACCAAACTGAAACTCGCACAATTATCACTTAAATTACAAAGCTCAATTCATATAGCTCTTAACATCGTGCAAAAAAATCCATAATATTCATAACCAATCCAACATAGGCATATTATTAAACATTCAAGCTCAAATTGGCCTCCTAAGATTATGGGATATGTTATTTTCGAATTATACCATCTGTCAATTCTTTCACCTTGAGTCACTGCCTGCATTTGTAAGCACCACAAACCTTATGTTCGCCATAAGAAACAGCAAGTTTGGATATGATCAATTCTCTTGGCTGCATACCAATGAATTTGTTTTGACTACTGATTCAAGTCAATGAGTTTGTTGTACCAAATAAACTTAAAAGGAAGGACTTTCTTTCTTTATGAAACATTTACCAGCGTAATTCTTTAAGTACATAAATCATCCAAGTGTCTTACCAAAGCCTGACATTTTATTCACCACTTACTAGTCACCAAGCATCTGTAGGCATGCAAGACTCTATACAATCATTACAACAATTGGCTAATTATCCGGTGATAATAGCTCGATTCCTTTGTTGACTTCTGATTAAAGCATGTATGGTGCTCAGCTATTGATCCTACCACAGATCTCCACATCTCTAGAAAGAGTAGAGAAATTTCAAGGTGTCCATTTTCGAGAGTTGAAAAATCAGCATGTAGTGATCAGAACCAAATAAACTAAAGGAATTAAGTCATCCTAAAGATGATGTGGCTGGGAAATCCAGTTCTATGTTCTAACAAAAGAAAAAATAAAATGGAAGATGACCGTGCAAGTCACAAACCCTAACACTAAGAAGTAGAAATTACATAGGGGTGAAGGGAAAAGAAAGAAGAAAAAAAAAAGGTGCCATATTAACCCTAGGTACAATAATCAGTAAAGAAAACAGCATTGAAGAAACGATGGCAAGTAGAGAGAAAAATGGCATTAATTATGAAACTCCATACCTCTAAATATTTATGTTTTGGAGTGAGCCAAGAGTAGATGGTGACCTTACCATTGCAACAAAGTGAAATTGCAGAATACTGAATACAAAACTTAAACTAAGCAAACTAATCAGCAGATGGAATATTGTTGTTTAAGAATTGATGAAGTAGATAGCAGATACAGAGACAGCAACCAATGAAACAGCAGCACTAACCATTGTGCAGTAGGATTAATTACTATAGCCAGTATGCTAGACCTTTACACTCTGTCCAGATAATTGAAACCAAACAATGGAACCATAGAAGGCAGCATGTGCTGACATGAATAGAGTTCATGTTTCAAATTTAAATAGAGAAGATCAAACTTCAGCATGAGAAGTCATCGGCAGAACCAATGGCATACATAATTTTGCAAGTAAAACCTGCAAAATCTACCAATACAGCAAGATGAAATCAGTGAAAGATGGTTACATGGCTTAACATTGATCTTGTAGATATATCTATTTTGACAGATGTCTCATTCCAGCAACAATCTGGTGGAATTTTAGGGCAGACCAACAATGATAATATGAAGTGTTTGTACCTTGGAAATTCACCATATCTGATGAAGAGATTTGCCTTATCAAATGACTGAACCATGAAACACAACACAATTCTTTTTTTGATTCGATTCATAAAACTGATGAACTGTGACAAATAGAAAGCACGAGTGCAAGACCAAATGAACTTCCCCCTAAATATATAAAATGTAGCTGTATTGACACCAGTATTATCATGTGCACTTCGCGCGCATGGGTTTACTTCAAGACCATTGAGAAGGAAGCATGCTCCTTTCTTGAAATTGACACCAGGTGCCATGCTATCAATATTCACTTAATTATCCTGAGTGTATGGTGGGCACATTATCAAACCCAGACAAATTATCTCATCCTAAAGCATGCTTTAAACTAATTATCCTCATATATGTTCAAAACTCAAGGAATTACTTTAATTTGAATAAAGTAAAGCCAAGTGCTTAAGAAAGTCCATGGAGTAGCCAAATATATGATACCTTTAAAATCCAATGCATCAACCAGGCATAATGAGAAAAAATTATACAATGTCAATCCAAGTAGATCCAAAGTAAACAACAAAAACAAAAGGCACTAACCTAATGTCTTTCAACTTTATTTCCAAAAAGAATGGGTTTGTGAATTATGTGAAGGGCTGAAAATAGTGACACGGTTGCCTAAAAATTAAAATAGCATACAAGAGAAAAAGAAACACAGAAGGGCACTAAAGATGTTAATGTCACGCATTTCCGTCTCACAGGGATATTTTGGTCTTTTCACACTCACGTAAGAGAGAAATGTGTGGTACCGACATCATTTCCCGGTCACAAATTGCATAAAATAAACTTCATTGCCTTCAAGTTGGACAGCATAAAAAAGAGCCGTGTGTCTCTCAACTGGACATTCAATTATTGGAGACAAGTGCTCTCATAAAAAAATACATAGTGAAAAATTGATTTTGCATCTATAAAAACTGGAAAAGAGAACTTTCAGGTAATTATGCATGTGAGTGTGTGTAAGAAACAAATATATATATATATATATATAAAAAATCTATACACATGACTACTTTAGATGAACCCACGTCAGTGTTTTTGAAAGGATCCTATCTTCCATAACTCCATAACCTCTTATTCAAGGTATGGATATACTACATCACTAGAGAATGATGTTAATCCTCCTACTAATGAAATTTAACAAAGCATGAAATAAATAAACAATTAAAGTTTCTTTAAAAGAAAATTTGAAAATTTTCAAGAAAGCCACATATCTTAATAAAGATTGATTGAAATTTAAGACAAAACTGATAGAATATGATGTTACAACTTGCAAGGTGATAATACAAGTAATCGATAACAATCATCAAATCCACTTTCTAAACAACCCCATATGCCCCCCCGTAGTTGAGAAATTAACATCCACTTATGAACTCAAATTGCCATATTAAATCCAGATATCGAATTCTCCACAAAATAAAATCAAATAAAATTAAATCTTAATAAATAGCAATCATTATTAACTAAAGAGTGACATTACCTTACAACCTTCGATCCCGAATTGAAATAACTGAATCCCATTCGACTTTACAAACTGGGCGTTGGCCTCAGGATAAGGCTCCGGGCAAAGGCATCTGCAAATCCAAAACCCTAAAATTGTCAATTTTCTCTCTCTCTCTCTCTCTCTCTCATGGAAGCATATATATATATATATATATAGAAAGAGAGAGAGAGAGAGAGAGGACTTACAGGATGGAGCGGAGGCCGAGGGATTGGAGGAAGGGGAAGTTGGCGGTGTCGGGGAAACCGGACCTGAAAATGCCATTATCGACCATGGAGAAGTTCAAAGGTGGAATAAAAAAGTCATCGTCGGAGTTGTTGTCTGGTACGGCGGTCGGAGAGAGCTTCGTTATTGGTGAAGGCGGGTCAACGACGGCGACTTCGATGGTTCTGTAGATGTTGCCGCCGTGGACTTCTTCCTCTACTCTCATATTCAATCAACGCGTAGAAGAATAAGAAGAAGATCAGAGGAAGTTGAAGATTCAGATACTGGACTTTTTTTTGACAGTTAAAAGGCTGCAGAATATGGTGTGTTGTTGTGTTGGTTATGTATAGATATATACAGTAGTCAGAATTGGTGGCCGCTGGTGGTTAAAGGAGGCTGCGGCCGCGGAGATTTAGCATCTATGGGATATGCGTGTATATGCCGAGGCTGGAGAGAGAGAGAGAGGGGTATGGGTCCAAGTCAAAGATTAAAAAGAGTCAAATATGAAATAAAAAGAGCAACCGTGCTGGGACCCCAGTGGGGTGACCCCACCCCAGTTCCACGTAAGGCTCTGCAAATGAAAGATAAAAAAATAAAAAATAAATAAATTTATGGATCAATCAAAAAATAATGGGGTGGTGAGGTCACCTCCACCGGAGGTCTGGGGTATTTTCCTAAAAAGAGAGCCACGGCGAGCCAACAGCACTGGGTGATTTGTGTGTATTTTATAACAATAATATTAAGTGGTCTGAATTTTTTTTGATTCAAATGATTCGAATGTCTTAAAATAATGTTATTTTAGGTATAAAATAATTTCATTTTGACATATTTAAATTATATAAATTCAGGTTATTAAGTACTTTTTTTTTATATAAAATATAAATAAAAGGCGTCAAAGTCTAGGAAAGTAAAGAAAAAATGAAAAAAGTAATAAAAAGTTTCCATTTATATCTTGGAATGGATAAAGCTTAAGACTAGGGGCGATTCCAAACTTAAGACTAGGGGCGGTGATTAGAAAGAAAAAACGAGAAAAGGGTGTGAAAGAAGATAAAATATGGATATATATATATATATATATATTTTTAAATTTTTCTTTAAATATTAAATTTATTAAATTTTTTATTTAATAAAATATTATTTTGTCAATTTCATTATTTTAACCATCAAAAGTATAATGAAATTCTTTCATTCAATACTAATAGTAACATAGTCTACTAATAATGCTATTAAAAATTTATGGTGAGGGTAATGCTCACTCCTTTAATTAATGGATTAAAGATAAGTGTTTTCTTCACTTATTGTTTGATGATTAGGGATAAACTTTTGTTGATACTTTATCTCATTATATCTTTCTATATTCTTTTTATGAGTTATAATTCGAACTCGCACTAATAATCTATCTCGTAAACTCTGTAATGAAAGTCATTTATGTACAAAATTAATTTCATCAGATAATTATAAATATGATAACAACTTGTATTTTATTTTATAAAATAGATAGTTTAAATTTAATTATATTCCATTTATTTTATAAAATAAAAAGTAATTTATTTTTGTATTTATAATTTTATGATAAAGTTGATTTTTTTGTGTGAATCACTTTTATTGTGAGATTTACAAAATAGACGGTTCGAATCATTCATGCGAGTTCAAATTGAAAAATACAAAAAAAATATGAAGAGATAGAAAAGATAAAATATGGAGGATGACTTATCCCACTAAATCTTCACACGTTGATAATATTTTTAAAATATAATAATAATGATAATTGGCTAACCAAACTGATTTTAAAATTTTAAAGTTATAATTTTATATCAACCAAACAAAAAAGGCATTTTATTATTATTATTTTTATAATAGTATTTTCTAAGGAGATATGGAAAGAGAACATTCGAAAGAATATGCGATATGGGGGAGAGTACTTGACGTGCGAGACCTGCGCCCCACGTACTTCTTTTTGTAGTTTGTTTGTTGCTTTGAAGGTGAAATTCACGCGCCAACTATAAAGTTGTGTTCGAATTAATAATTTCAGAAATAAATTTTTAAAAATTAAATTTTAAATAAAATAAAGAATGAATTACAAATACACCTTTAAAATTTGGTGAAAATACAAATCGCGCCCTGTGAATTTGAAAATCGCATTTCATCCGTGAGATTTTTAATTTCATAACAAATCGTCTTTTTTATTAATAAATTATCAAGTTAATTAACAGTTTTGAACGATATTAGAAATATGTTTTAATTAATAATTTAAGTAATTTTATTATTGCATGGGAGAGCAATAAAAAATTCTAATAAAAAGGTATTTGTAATTTTTTAAATTATAAAGGGTAATTTATATTTTAAGTAAATTTTAAAAAATATATTTATAATTTATCCTAAAATAAAAGATAAAATTTTATTTTTTTTCCCCTTAAATTGACATCTATACAACGTTAAAAAATGCTACTATGCATGAGTCACAAAATATGGACACCAAATGTGAGATATGAACTTTGTAGTGGAAATCCATTTCGATAGGTTTCGTTTGGAATGTGATTGGATTTTTTTTTATGACTATTTTAATTTGGGAGTATTAGTAAAAATTTGGTTTGTGTCAAATCGATAGAAAAGATTTGACAGAGAAAATCAATTTCACAAACAAAAGTACAATTAAACGATGTGGTTGGTGTCCTATGCTTTGACAGATTCAAGAACTTCCTTGGAGGTTGTTATGTGAAGAAACAAATACAAACACACTAAAATTGATAATAAAATTGAAACTTGTTACTCAATTGCATTAATCAAACAACAAACACAATCTTTGTTACACAATCAACAAGAATAAAAAAAGTTACAAGAACCAAAACTAATTGTTAAAAGCTACTCCTAAATTAAGGTAATCTACTCCTAAGTTAAAATAGGCTACTCCTACATAAAGAACTCTCATGAGTTTGATGTTTTGTTGATCATTTTCCCTTGTATCTCCCTTGGTCTTTTATAGGCATATTTTCAAACGAAAATTGCCCAAAGCAGTTCTTCAAAACAGTTATTCAATAAATGAAAAATGAAAAACCAACCCACAGTTCTTTGAATCAATCCACATTCTTAGCATAAAGTCACACGTGTTCATCTTTCAACTTGTCACCAACCACGAAGTGCCTTCCCATGTTCCACTTTTCTTTCCTTGGTGCTATGACCCACTATGCTTTGAATCACTTCCTTCAGTTTTCAAGCCCCACGTTGTTCTAGAGCCATGGTACTATGATCCACGTTGTCATTTTCCTCCCGTCCAAACTTAGGAATATTGCTAGTAATAATAATAATAATAATAATAATACATAATTATGGCCATAGTTAATTTTTAAAGATGGTCATAATCTAAATCGACAGACCACAATCGACATGTCACAATCAATGAAGTAGATTTGGTCATAATTGACAAGTCACAATCAATTAAACGAGACTTGGCCATTATTGACAGAAAATTATTTTTTAATGTCAACAATGTCCGCCTCATTTAAGGTAAAACTAAATTTTGCCTTAAATGTAATAAAGGACCACAACTTGAGCCAATTAAAATGACACGTTTTAACCATTATTTTGTTCAAACCATATCATAAAGATTAACTTCTGGTGTGATCCACACATACACAATGGATGTTGGATTCCAAAACTCAAATAGTTGAATGTTATGAAAAATTCATAAATTTTGACACTTTGAACAATGTCACAAAATTCACTTTCAACAAACGTGGGTTGTTCATAATTTTCAATCACTTTTGGTCTAAAATCATGCCCTCAACATTCATAATTTTTAGCCATCTCTGACTTAAAATTATGCTCCCAAATAAATCTTCACCATTATTTTGTGATGGATTTTCATCATTTTTTTTTTTTTTGTCAAAAGGGACTGTTTTTCTTCTTTAGCCATTAATGGCTTGTTCCTCTTTGCCATTTTTGGCAAAAAATCATGGCCCCCAAAGTGTATTTTCACCATTATTTTGTAATGAAATTTTAACATCTTTTGAGAGAAGGGACTGTGTTTCTATTTTAGCCACTATTGGCCTATGAAAATCCTCCAAAATCATGTTATTTTTATGACTTGGTGTACTAATCCTTCGAGCCACATACCTTAGCTTTTCATGAATAATTGGCTCCTTAGGAATATAGGTATTAGCCTCCAAAGCCACATTATTTGCATACCTTACTTTTTTTCTTGGCCATTAAGCCTTCTAAATTATGCTCTAAATATTGAATTTTTTCATCAGTTAGGTAAATTTGACCTTCAAGTTGATGAATTTTTTCATCAAAATAATTTAAAGCTCTTTGTATCAAATAATATGGAGATAATGAAATTATTTGAATTTTTTGCCGATAAAGAGAATTAATTTCTCTTCTCCTAAATTAAGGTAATCTACTCCTAAATTAAGATAGACTACTTGTAACAACTCCAATCTATGATTAGCTGATTAACCATGATTAATTATGCCTAATAACTAATTAAGAGGAAATTTTGAATTAATTGTATGTGCATTGCATTATTTGTGTTTATATCTGTCGAAGGTAGGAATATCTGTTTCTGTTTTCCTTTTTTTTTTGTGAATTAAAGGCCTTATCGGCATCCGATCATGAAATTGACTTGGTCACCGTGATATTTGGAATTTTTAGAACCTTGTGGTAGGTTTAATTGAAATTCGATTCGGAGCGAATTAAATTAGATCAATCAATGCTCATTTTCTTAGTTTAATTAATTACCACCACTAGATAAGGCCAATACACCTCTTAAACTCACTTCTTCATCACTTAATTTTCATTCTTGTGACCAAACGTGAGAGAGAGTGAGAGACTAAGGAAACTTGAGATAGAGAAGAACATTGCTAGGAGACTTGGAGAATTACTCAAGATTTTGACTAATTGAAGCTCAATTGGGTAGCCTAGGTAAGAGTTTAACCTTGCAACTTTGGAATTGAGTCATTTAGTACATGAATACAAGAGAATTAAGGTGAATCATACATGAATTGAGCTCTAGAGTGTAGAAAGGAAGAACAACCATGCATGCATGCATTTCTATGACATTTTGAGTTTCAATTTCAAACAATCTCACTTGCATGTGTTCATCCCACTCTTGTTTTGAGAATTCACCAAGTTTCATACCATTGCACCTTAGTTGATCATGTTTTCAAAAGCTTTGAAGTGAAGAAATACTTGCATGTTATGTTTTCTAAGACTTGAGTGTTGATTTACACAATTGGTAAGCTTTTGGGCTTTGATTTTGCGGAACGATTTCAAATTCCCAATGTTTTCCAAGTTCATACATGCATCTTTAAGTTTTTGGCCCAAAAAGATGAGTTTTGATGCATTAAATTCGAGTTTTGCAGCTTGGAGGTGAATCTAGAAATTCCATAATTCGACTTTTCCGCTTGAGCGACAGAACCTACGCTCGAGCAACCACTCTGTGATCTTGCACTTCTGCTCGAGCGACCAGAAGTTTGTTTGAG